TGTCTATATGACGCACGGCCCGATGCGATTGTCCCTTTTGGCAGGCATCCGTGCAATGCCCCACATCTGGGGCGAGGTCGGCTGTCGTCCTGGCGCTCTCTGCACCTGGGACAGCTGGCCTCGTCGTCCTTGTGTGGGTGGTCGTTTTCTGTGTGTCGTATTTTTTTCTTGGCCTCGGGCCACTGCGATGTGTCCTGGGGGAAGGTATTTGCGCGTGCCCTACATCTGGGGCGAGGCCTGCTGTCGTCCTGGCGCTATCTGCACCCGGGATGGCAGATCTCGTCGTCCTTGCGTGGGCGGCATTCGAGTTTCGTGAGCTGCGCGCTGCCGTCTCGTGTGCGCGCGCGTTCCGTTCTGCACGCGTTTCAGGCACCCCGCCTCAGGGGGAAGGCGCGCGCTCTCCCTCGTGTGTGCGCGTTTTCTTTCTCCGAGCACGGGGGTGGGCTTTGGTCTACCCTGACCGTGGCTCGTGCGAGCGTTGCTGTGGCCAGGTAGCTACGAGCTCCTGGCCCCAACGTTGTCGCCCCACCGAACGCATCGCGCGGCCGTCTCGTGCGCGCGCGCGTCTCCCGCTCGGCACGCGTGTCAGGCACCCCGCCTCAGGGGGAAGGCGTTGGCGCACTCGTGCGTGGGCGCACTTTTTCTCCGAGCACGGGGGCGGGCTCAGGTCTGCCCTGACCGTGGCTCGGGTCGAGGTGTTGCTGCGGACTGGAGCTGCGAGCTCCTAGCCCCGACACTTGAGGCAGCGGCAGCACCCTGGCTGCCTAGCCGACCGCCCTTTTGCACAGTCGAGGGCGGGCGGCCCGCGCTGCGATTTTCCCGTCTGCAGGGTTGCCTGCATTTGGCCTTGTGGATCTCTGCCCAATCTGGGCAGGGACGTCATTATGCAGGCTGTCGCCGCCCCAGTCCCTGCAGGAAAACATTTTAGGGGTGGAAAAATGAAAAAAAAAACTCCCACCGGGAACCCTCGTCACTCACTCGGCCCACCCCCCTGGTTCCCTCTAGCTCCGATGTCAAGATCCCTCGTCGGCCTCGGCCTCTCGGCATGCCAGCGAGGCAGAGCCCCAACAGCACGTGCGCACGCGTGCGCGGGCGGACATAAGTTCACCGGGTCACCGAAATCTCTCGGGCGTGTTTGCCTCGTGTGTTTCTTCCCGTCGTCTGGTCCCGTCACGCCACGGAATATTATACTACAGGTCGGGGGGCTTCTGCATTCTCCTGCGGATCGAACCTGCTGTCCGCGCTTGGCCTCAGCATTTCCAGCTCATTGAAAACGCATACTCGCTGCGGGGTGCCCGACATCCATGCGGCAAAAGGGAGGGAGTGCTCACATGAACTCACGTGGGACGGATGGGTGAGCAAAAGGGAGACCTGAGCGGGAGCAGATTGAAGAGTGAAGAATTGAACAGGAATTGGTGGATGAGGAGTGGCGGGGAGAGGGATGATGGTCAGCACCCTCCCTCCTCCTTTCGCCCGCCACTCCCTTCTCTCCTCATTTCCGCCTTTGTTTTCCCCTCCCTCTTTTTTATTACAACCCACTTTCTTTGCCTCCTCCTCGACCTCCTCCTCTTCATTCTCCTCATTCCCTTGGGCACATGAGATACCGCCACCGGCTTTAGAGGAGGAGCGGGACCAGGACGTGCGCAGTGGCAGGGGGTAGAACATGACGAAGGTCACACGCCTTTGCAAGTGCACGGTAGAGGGAGACAGACAGTCAGACAGACATGAATCGATCACAGATGCGGGATGCTTTCCGCCACGCTCGTTTGTCCGGGTGGACGGGGAGTAGGGGAGGGCCCGATGTGCGGCCATGTTTTTAAGACGAGGCAGGGCCGAATGGAACGTTTACGCCACGAGCGTGGCATCCGCAGCGTCAATTCAGTTTTGGCAGTAGTTAACGCGTGTATTGCTTGCCAGAAGATGTTTAATTTCCAAACGACCGCGTCCAGCCACCCACAGCGCTCGATTATTCGAGGTGATTGCAGTCCTTTGGGATCTTGATTTCGGATGCCCAGGACGGAACCCAGCGGTTTCATTTGCAAGTTTTGTGTTTATGAGGGCGGATACATAGATGATCTCCATCGTCACTCAGCGGCTCGTATACCTTTTCGTGTTGCCAGTCGCCCTCCCAGTCTTCTGCTGGAGCTTCGGGGTGGCCGAAGAAGGGGACACGCCCATGCCGCAGTGGAAATGACACCAGGAGCGAGATCAGCGGAGGATGCAGGATCGGCGGCGGAGGCCGCTCAAAGCTCAGGCACAGCGGGACCGGACACTGGCGGGAATAAGGAAAAGGAACAGAGAGGAGACAGACGGAACATTCTCATAGGTGTAAGGCAGATCGCGCAAGTCGGGCTCGCAGCGTGCGAGGCGAACGTCGTCGACGGGTCTGTGGGCCCTCCTGGCCCAGACGTCCACGGAGGTGGGCGCCGAGTACAAAGAATGATCAAAGATCGAAGGCCCGAACGGCGGCCAAGGAGAAGGGGCGGGATATGGATTTCATGATCTGGGCCCCGACGTGCGTGGCTGTCTTCGTACACGTGATCAACAAGGTCGATGATGCAGTGCGCGGGGGGGCGGCAAGTACCCGGACGGCCAGAGCTACGCAGTCCTTCGGGAGTGTTCGGACTCGGTGGTGAAGCGGCGCTCGCCAGGCGAGATCGCGATGGATGCGTTGCGCATTAGCACCGTAAGGCGGGCAAGAACTCAGAGAAGAAAGTGCTCTCGTTGGCGGTGATGCTCATGGAGACGATGGTGATGAGCCTGTGGCAGGTCGTCTCCCCTCATCTGCTTCGGTTCGACAGCATAGTTGTGGAGAGCGCACCACGGGGTCCAGCTCCCACAGGGCCATTTGAGAAGGAGGTGTCTAGAATGCTCAACGCGGGAAGAAAAGCCAGCGGCAGCAGGAGGCCAGATGAGGCCCAGGATGGCAAAGCCAGCGACCAGCAGTCGGGGTCTCGCCCCTGCGACCGCCCTCACTGTCCCCGCCCACTTCGGTTGTTACTTACGTTCCTGTACATTCACATGCAGCTCCTGATGTGCACGTTGCTATTGTTTTCCCATACGCGGTTTAACAAAAAAAAGGTAGGTGGGCTGGAGGCCGCCGGTGCCAGGAAAACGTTGATGTGCAGGTGTTGTCCCGCCGCCGCCGCAGGGTGCCAAGGGCGCGCGTCGACGGCGCGCGCGCAGGCCGCGGACGCGACAGAGGCCGTGATTGCGGAGGGAAGCGGTCAGCGGCGGGCGGGACAGGCGGGGGTGATACAGTGGAGGCCCATGCTAAGAAACACCCGGTGTTCTCCAGGGTGCCCTAGGTTGCTTAGGCTTCGAAGGTTTTGTCTTGGAAAGCGTGACATCTCCACATTCAAACTCAATGGACGCCCTGGGGTCTCAGGTTTGGGTTTCTTGTGGAAGGTTTCCTGTGGACTGGCTTCCATTATCCTACAATGGAAAACATAAACGAATAACAAATACTGCAGCGGGCGGGGGCGGAACGACGATTGACGAAGACATGTTTCGGCTTTCGCACTGGCCCGAGCACCACAGACGCCATTTTCATGGTGCGCCAGCGCATTGATATGAAATTGGTTTGGAAGGAAGGGCAAGTCGGCATGATGGCTTTAGACTGGCAGAAGGCGTTCGTCTCTGTCAACGTGGACGCCCTCATGGTGGCCTTCTGCTGGTTTGGATTACCAGATCAGTATGTTCGCATGGTGCAACACATCTATACGGAGCGCATTTTTTGCGTAATCGACGGCGACGCAGAATCAGACAACCCAGAACAAAAGTCGGGCATTTTTCAAGGATGCCCGCTGTCCCCTTATCTTTTTCGCGATGCTCGTGACAACGATCGTCGGCGATGCGTCTGCCAGACTCTCGCCGGAGGCCCGCGGGGATCTCGAGGCCGGGCGCACGGAGTGCATCTTATTTGCAAACGACACCTTCCTGGCAGGCCGCAGCCAAGCCCGATTACAATCAATGCTATTGTATGTTGCCCACGTGGGTGGCTCGTACGGCGTGGCTCTTTTTGTTGGTCGAAGAATCAGGTGATCCGGTCGCTATTCGAATGAAGGACAGCATGCCCTACCCGGGCGTGGGGATCTACGCGGACGGCCGAGTCATGCCGGAATTATCTCGCAAGGTGGGACAAGTGTGGGAATATTTCACAGCATTGACAAGATTGTTGGGCCACGCATTTTTTCCATGATTTCGAAAATATTCAGTTTCGACGCAGTCCTGATTTTGAAACCCACGTGCGGCTTGCAGTCCGCGTGGTTGAACGCCGCAGGGACCAGGAGATTGGATGCGCTCTACTGCCGCTGCTAAAGATCAATTTTTCGCATTCCATTCTCGTACGTGTCTCGTATTTCCATTGCAACAGTGCTCCAAGGGACCAATTGCCGAAGCTTGGACAGGCTTTTGTTGCAGGAACAATTGCTGCTGTACGGTCGGGTCGCCAGATCTCCCGCCGCATATGTTTTTCGCACCGCCTACACCTTTCATCCCGAACACGACAATCCCGGCTTCGCAACGGCATCCCAGTCGACGTGGGCGTCCGCGCAACGAGTGGACGACCACGGTACAGAGAGAATAATGTCGTGCCTTCTTCGTTGAATTCTGACCTTCTGACCAGTACCGTCAGCGTCCACGCGCCTTTGGCGCATGATGTGTGCGCGTGCGTGCCGCTGCGCGGACCGTCTCTGAAGGGTCAGTGCGGGGTGACGCCCGGAGGGCCGTGGACGCTCGGGGCACTTCAGGCTTCACACGTGGTCACGACGTGGCGCCCAAAAGCGTATGTTGCACTGCCCCTGCGTGGCAGTTGACCTTCTTCTTGGTGCTACTGGATGTGGCTTCTCTTTCTCCTTCTCCTCATCCTTCTCTTTTTCCTTGCCCTTTTCCTTATCATCATTGCCCCCTCTTTTTTTCCTTCTTCTGCCCCCCATCATCTTCCTACACCTCTACAACCTTGCAACTCCGAGAGTGGTACTGTTTGAAACTGGCTCCAGGTTGGGTGATGAGCATGTACGCCCTCCTCGAGAAGGGCGGCTCGACCACGCTGGAGGAGATCGAGCAACACTGCGACGGGAACCTGTGCCGCTGCACTGGCTACAGGCCAATCCTGCAGGCCCCCGCTTGCTGCGGCGGCCCATCCTGCCCCGCTGCGGGTTTGGAAGTGCGTCCTGCTGAACAGCCCCCCCCCCCCTTCCCCCGAGACCCCCACGCCGTGACCCCCAAAAAATACGACAAGAGGTTTTGGCCGACGTTTTCTAGCTGCGGGGCCGTCATGGAGCCCCGGGGCCTTCGGAACACGAGCGGCGCGGGAGGAAAATGTTGGTCCCGCGGGGCGGGCGGACGCCGTGCAGAATCTTCTCGTCAGGGGCTGCGCATGCCCCTTCAAACTCACGGTCCGACGGAAACAACAAGAGGGCCAGAAACCCAGGAGGCGAGGAGGGAATACTCAGGGGTGAAGTTTGAAGACTGGGCGAGGGCTGCTAAAACCGTGGTTGCTAAGACGGCCTTCCCGGAAAGAAAAAAACAACTTCAGGAATGAGGCGCGGCACGCGAAACAGTCAACGGGCTTCTTCCCAGAAGGACGAAGACAACTTCCCGGAGGTCGATTTTAGCAACCACGGATTTAGTAGCCCTTGCCCAGCTTCCGAGAAATGGAGGAGGGGCAGCAGGTGGTGAGGATGCAGTTCCAGGGGAAGGAAATGCAGCAGCAAGTCGCGTTTACTTGCATGGCCCACCTCATCGGGCCCCATAGCTGCTGAACCGTTTTCACGAAGACCTCCCGCGAAGTGGCTCTTGAGGGCGCGAAGGGGTCGGATCGGTTGTGCTTGGCGTTTGTGGCCTGAGTGGGCTGGCGGCTTCACGGGTCGCCCCTGAACGCTCCTGGGGACCACCGGTTTTCCGAGACTTCAGGGCCCTCCGGGGATTGTTGCCGCGACTTGTTGGGGGGCCGGCCTGACGGAGCAGGACGCACGAAGACGAGCCGACGAGGGAACGGATGGAGGAGGAGCGTGAGACGGAATGGGTAAGGAGAAGGGCCGAGGATGGCAGAAGTAGAGGAGGAGGAGGAGGAGGAGGTAGTGGAGGAAGGGGAGGGACAGTAGCAGGAGGAGGCCAAGTTGAAGGGAGGCAGAGGAGGAGGAGGAGGAGGAGGATGCGTTGGAAAGGAACACAAGGATGAGGAGGACGAGGAGGGAACATGATGCTGATGATGGCGATGATGATGAGGGTGATGATGATGCGGATGATGATGATGAGGAGGAGGAGGAGCGATGGCCAGTGCAAATCCAGGACGCATCCATGATCTGGAATTGTTCCGTTGGAAGGCAACCGTCTCAGATTACCCGATCGTGCCCAACACAACACGTGTTTGACGTCAGCGCCGCGAATCGAATTTGTTGTGGCGTCCCCACGGTATTCATTTATGGCAGGACACCATTCGGGATTCCAGCATTACGAATCAACGTGGTTGTTGCACCCTGACAGTCCTAAGCCGTGCCGGAAGACCGTGCATGGAGCGGCCAAACATGTTCATCCTCTCAACAGTCCCAATTTGTTGCAGCGATTCGCAGCGATTGCACGCGGCGGTCGGGCGAGAGCCAGATTTTGAAAGTGATTTGGCTTCAACCCGTGAAACCATTGCACTGTATAAGTCGGTTGTGCACGGCGCCCAGACGAGACCCACATTTTGACAACGGGCCGCCCTCCATCTGTGAACTTCCTGCAGGCGCTTCAAACGAGTGCATACGGCGCTGAGGCGAGAAACAGACTTTGAAAACGACCCGCCTTCCATTATGCAAATTTGCCGCTTCAGGGCCATAGATCGTGAGGACATATCAGGCGAAACACCCTGTCCGCCTTACCGACAAGTCTCACGGTGCGACAGGGAGGAGTTAGTATCATTCATACCCGCCGTTGTGATCTCGCACTGTACTATTTCAACAGACCATGCCTGGAATGTGCTGGATTTGCCCTCGGATGTGCGAAGAGAAGCTGGATTGTGAACGCCGGGATGTGTCCTGTTTCCGTCTGCTGGAATGAGTGGCTGGACTGTGCTGGACTGGAATGCGTGCGTGGAATGTGCTCGACGTGCCCTGGGATGTGCGAAACCATCTGTGCTGGAATGCGAACGCCAGGGTATGCCCTGTCTCCGTCTGTTGGACTGCGTGCTGGGATGTCTAGTGTGCGCGCGCGCGCTGCCCCAACGTCTCTGTCAGCTGGAGGGCGTGCCTGGAATGTGCTCGACGTGAACCAGGATTTGCGAAGACATGTGTATTGGAACGTGAACGCCAGGGTGTGCCCTCTCTCCGTCTGCCGGCCTGCGTGCTGGGCTGTCTGCTGTCTGCGCGCTGCCTCGACCATGTGTTGGCACGCGCGTCGATCTGTCAAAGGCTGTCCCCGCCGCGTGGCCTCTCTGCCCTCCCTCCACGAGCCCCCCCCCCCCCGGGCTATTCCGACCGACCGTGCTCCCGCCCCCCCTGTCTTCCGTGCCCCCCCGCCCCCGGCTTACTCCGACCGACTGTGCGCCCCCTCCCCTCTGCCCGTCCCGTGTATTCCCCCCCCTTCTGGTTTGCTCCGACCGACCATGCCCCACTCCCATCCTTGTCCTCCGCCCCTCCCCCCCCCATATCTCTGTCCCCCCCCTTCCCCGCCCCCCTTGGCCTATTCCGACCGACCGTGCCCCCTCCCCTCTCCTTGTCGTCCCGTGTTTTGTCCCCGTCCCGTGGCTTGCCCCCTCCCCCCGTGGCTTATTCCGACCGACCGCGTCTTCCCCTCCCCATGTTCCTCCCCCTCGCCGCCCCTCTTGGCTTATTCCGACCGGCCGCGGCCCCTCCCTCTCCCTGTCCCGTGTCCTTCCCCCGTCCCGTGTCCTTTTTTGCCCCCCCCCCCCCCTCATTACGAGCCCCCCCGACCTGGCTTATTCCGAACGACCGTGCCCGCACTTGCCCCCGCCTCCCGTCCTCCGTGCCCCCCCCCCTTTGGCTTCTTCCGACCGACCGTACCCCCTCCCCTCGCCTCGTCCCTCGCCCCCTTTTGGTTTATCTCAACCGACCGTGCTCCCCTCCTCTCCCTGCCCACTGTCCCCCCCCCGTGTCCTTCCCCCGTCGCCCTTCCCTGGCTCATTCCGACCGACAGTTCCCCCTCCCCTCTCCCTGTTCCGTGCCCTATCCTTGGCCCGTGGCCTTTTGGCCTCCCCACACGAGCCCCCCCCCCCTGGCCTCTTCCGACCGACCGTGCCCCCCCCCCCCCCCCCGTCCTCTGCGCCCCCCTTGGGTTATTCCGACCGGCCGTGCCCCTTCTTGTGTGTTTGTCTTGTGACCCCCCTGTCTGATTCCGACCAATCGTGCCTCCTTCCTCTCCCTGCTCTCCGCCCCCATCTCCTCTCCTTTTCCCTCCCCCTCGTTCCCGTTTTCTTTATTCCGACCGACCGTGCTCCCCGTGCCCCGCCTTGGCTTATTCCGACCGACCATGCCCCCTTCCTCTCCCTGTTCTCCGCCCCCCTTCCCCTCCCCATTTCCGTCCCCCTCGCCCCCCCCCCTGGCTTATACCGACCGACCGTGCCCCCTCCCTTGTCCTTGTCCCGTGCCTTGTCCCTGACCCGTGGCTTTTTTTCCCCTCCTCCCCAAGAGCCCCTCCCCCCTGGCTTATTCCGACCTGCCGTGCCCCGCCCCCCTGTCCTCCGTGCCGCCCCCCCGGGCTTATTCCAGCCGATCGTGTCCCTTCCCCTCTGCCCGTCCTGTGCCCCCCCTGGCTTATTCCGACCGACTGTGCCCCCCTCCTATCCCTGCCCTCCGCCCGTCTCCCTTCCCTTTTCCCTCCCCCTCGCACCCCTTTTTCTTCTTATCATACCTGCCGGTGTGCTCTCGCACTGCATTATTTCGACCGGGTGACCGTGCCTGGGATGTGTGCTGGACTGGGATGTGTGCTGGGACGTGTGCTGCCTTCGCGTGCTGGGATGTGTGCAGGGCTGTGTGCCATCTCCGTGTGCTGGGATACGTGCCGGCAGGTGTGTTGTCCGTGCCCTCCCGTCGCCTTGCTCCCCCCCCGCGCCCGTCCGCCCCGTGGCCCCCGTCTGCTCATTCCGACCGGCCGACCGTGCCCCCCCCCCTTCTGCCCGATCGTGCCAGTCCCCCTGCCCCCCCCCTCCCCCGCACCCCTCCGCCCCGTGGCCCCCGTCTGCTCATTCCGACCGGCCCACCGTGCCCCTCCTCTTTGCCCGACCGTGCCCTCCCGTCCCCCTGCGCTCCCCTTTCCCCCGTGGCCTCCAGTTTGCATTGTCCGGCCGACCGACCATGCTCCCCCCAGCACCTCCGGCCCGTTGGCGTCCCACCTGCGCCCGACATTGTATGATCCTTGTCACGCGTGCCTCTAGCTGTTGATCTCTAGAAGCGGTTCCGCGCGCTCTCGCCTCGATGCGAGCTACATTGTCTCTGAAATCGAGGGTCCTGCTCGAGCGTTGGCTTGAGCCTAAATGTTCGATTCTATTGTTACGCAAAAGGAATTGATGGGGAAGGAGGATCTGTCGTTGAGCTGCTTACGTTGGGGGGAGGAGGAGGGAGGAACGGGACGAGGAGGTGGAAAGAGGAGCAGGATGAACCGGAGGAGGCAGGAAGAGGACAATGGGGGAAGAGGCAGGATGAGCTGCAGGTGGCACGAGGAGAAGGCAGGTGCTTTTTGCTGGGGGGGGCTGCGGTGGTGTGACCATTGGGGCGAGCACACCGCGGGCCTCAGATAGCTAAATGCGATGCGGGAACAGCGGCTTGCACGGTCGGCTTGCCTAGGGCCATTTCTTGCGTGTAGCCGAGGGGGCTTTTTTTTGAAGAGGGACATTCGGAGGAGGAGGAAGAGCATGAGGGCAGATGGGGAGGCAGGAGGAGGATAGGCCCCATTTGAAGAATAATCATAGTACCCGTCATCGCATCTTCACGCTGGCCAGATGTTGATGTGAGCTCGTCGCGTGCGATCGGTGTCGAATAATCGGGAGCACGATGATCAGCATAACATGCACAACAGCAGCAGCGCGAATAGGGAAGGTAAGGACGTGCTGGAAAAATGGAAGGTCCATACAAAACGTCGAACACACGTCTCTACGCCACGATCCCAAGTCGCAAGCGCATACATCCCAGCCTTGTGGCTGGCGGTATGACATGCCAGGTGCTGTGTTGCAGATGTGTTGAGCAGTGTTGGATGCATGAGCCGTGGCCGGATGAGCAAGCGACGCCGTCGTTGGACATCTTGGGCAGTGACGCGACCCAGAGTAACGAAACGTGGACCGTGAGTGCCACGAACCCTGAAGGTCGCGCCGCGGCCTTTGGAGTCCGTGTCCTCGGGCACGCACCCCTGCTTCCAACGCTCCTAGACCATGCCCTACCATGCGAGCGGAAACGCACGGAAGAAATCTTGGCCGCAGAGGCGTGCATGTGCAGCCTGGTGCTCGAGCGTGCGCCGTGGGCTCGAGCCCGTGCGCACCCGAGCCCAGAGGCCGAGCCTCCCCGAGGTCTGGTGAGGCCACCCCGCGCCGCGCAGGGGGCTGCCCGCCCAGAATGCCGGAGCTGCTGAAGAGGGAGAAGGTGCTGGTGCAGTACCGGCTGCTCAAGGACTTCGACGACCTGCGCCGGCGCGGCATCCCAGGAGTGGACGTGAGGGTCATGGAGGACAACATCTACGAGTGGCACGTCACCATGAGCCCCCTCTCTGGGCACTTCAGCGGGCTGCGCATCCACATGGTGCTGCTGCTCCCGGACGACTACCCCCGGAGACCGCCCAGGCTGGGGTGCAATTCATGGGAAGTCTGATTCCGCAGTGCCGCTGGTAGATCCGTGGTCGACGGCAGGAATCATCCCGCAAAAGCTTGCTTCGTGGGCTCAATCTCAAGCTTATTCCGACCTGACCAGGCTTAGTGGCTATTTTATCAGGCTGAATAGTGGCTCTGAACCGTTCTTACGGAGACCTCGCAGACATGTTTTATCCAGTTGCGATAACGGGCGTGACCAGGGAAGGAAGGGGGGGAGGGGGACAGTCACGTCTCGACTCGCGCCAGCGCCGTCGAGCAAGATTTAGGAATGCCTCGCTTCCCGCACGGCGCCGCGCGCATCGCGGCGTGACCAGAGGGTTGGGGGCAGGGGGAGGGCGTGGCCGAAAACACGGGCGCTCGATCTCGCGAATCGAAAGCGGGCCCAGGGTGGAGCTGTACAACTACCTCCCGCACGCGAACGTCTTCCGCGACTTCCTCCAGGCGACCTCCCAGAGCTGGGCCTCCTACTGGAAGGGGAGCAGCCCCTCGCGCGGAGGCTACGTGCTGTGCACCGACCTCCTCGAGCAGGGGCCGCCCCCGCTGGACCCCAGCGACCCCCGCAGGCACGAGGGATGGAGCCCCTCCTACAGCGTGGAGGCTCGGGGGGGGGGGGGAACAGGCACCGATGCCGCCGGAGGCCGCACTCCTGGCTGCTCCTCGCTCCTCGCTCATCCTCGCCCATTCCTGCCCCTCCACCTACTCCTCCTCTCCCTCATTCTCCTCCTCCTCCTCCTCCTCCTCTTCCTCCTCCTCCTCCGCCTCCTCCTCCGCCTCCTCCTCCTCCTCCTCCTCCTCCTCCTCCTCCTCCCCTGGCGCTAACGAGCGTGACCCGGAGGGGGGTGGGGGCCCAGGAGTGGCTGACTCCGAAAAAAGAGCAAGCGACACCACCCCACATGCGGCCCTCCGTGTTGCGCTACAGCCTCTGGGGTCCGTGGCGTGTACCACGCAATATCTCACGCCAGATTAGCCCGTATACGCTGAGCCTTGTGGGGCCGTAGGTGGGGTGGTGTCGTTTGTTTTCTGGCCCATCACTCCTAGACGGCGCACGAGGGGGGGGGGGGGAAACGGGGGCTGTTCTCGCGAAGAAAAGAAGTATATGTTCCTACCGCTGCTGCCCTTGTCGCGTTTGCGCTCGTTTGATCCTCCTGGTAGGCCCTCGTCGCCGTGGCTGGAATCGCCCCGAGATCCTCGTCGGGGCGCACCCTGGGAGAGGTCCGCGCGCGAAATAGCGGCATCCGTGCCGTCTTGTTCATTAGAGGCGGTGTTGGTGCAGCTGCAGTGCCTGCTCTTCGACGACTACGTGCACGCCGACACCGACCACCACATCTCGAAGAAGAAAAACATGCATCAACATGTATCTTCGGCGCTCCGCGAGGATTTTTCTCGGATCGGCGCTGGGTCCCCCCTGGTGGCGCCAGGGGGGCGGTCCGCCCCTGGCGCGCTCTGCGCGCCAGGGAGAGGGGGCCAGCGCAGATCAGAGAAATTCGCGCAGAGCTACGACAATGTACGGTAGGTTTGCGTCGTGTCGACCAGCGGCGACCCCAGCGCGGGCGTTCAAGGTTGAACGCCGGCGGCGGCCCAGAATCGGTCGATGTTGAACGATTGGACGTTGCGGAAATGGCCGATCGTTCAAGGTTGAACGATCCCTGCGGTGTCAAAAACCAACGCCGGGGTCGACACGACACGAACCTGCCGTATTTTTGTGCAGCCTTTCTTCTTCTACACATCAACACGCTCTGGGACACATGGTTCGCTCACCACCACGGGGAGGACGGCCGCAAGAGCCGCAGCCAGGTGTGCGCCGAGCTGCACAGGGCCCAGCGCGAGGCGGACGAGTTCAGCTGCCGGGCCTGCGGCTTCAGCGGGCACGACGACGAGGTGAGCGACGCAATGAAGCGGGGACGACTGCGCGGGCGGCATTCACGCGTACCCTGCCCCTGTGCAGAGGAGAGCTGGCTGAAATAACGTCAGTCGGCTCTGGCTGGGGGCTCGTCGCCACGGCTGGACGCAGCTCGGAACATTGGTGCTTTTGGACGCCGGGAGGGGTCCATGGGCCGATTCTGAGTTGCCGCTGCCCCAATTCGCCCTCCTCTGACTCGCAAGGTCGAGCGTGCGCCCCGTCATCTCCGAACGGTGTGTCGCGCGGGCAGCCTGCCTGAGCCATCGCGCATGGCCGCCGCGCAGTCAAAGCCGGCGTCAAGGAGTGAGCCTCTCAAGCAAAGCACCCCTGCATCGGGGGCGGCGAGGAGCAGGGTGAGGACTAGGAGCGTTTGCGCCTGGATGGCCAACGCAACAAGACATCTTCCCCCTGATCTTCGCTTCTTCATTTCATGTTACCCCCCCCTGACCCCCTCGCGTTGCGAAAGAATCACGACGGCAGGTTTTTCTTTATTTTCAGCATCCAGGGGCCCGTACCGGGCCCCAGGACCGTCGCGAAACGACTCAGGGTCTAGGTCTAGCCCCCCCTCGTTCGCGTTCATGCCACGTTCACTACCCCCCTCTCTCCGTCTTTCCAGGCCCCCACTTCGGCGCACACAGTTGCCTCCCGCTGCATGCGCCTCACACCCGTGGCTGTTTTTGGCAGTTCCATTTTGCGTTAGGATGCAAGCCCAGGAGGAGCGATTCAGCATCGGCGCTGGTATACCGGTGACCAGGAGCTGGCGTAATCGAGCATAATCTCCCATCAATTTTGATCAGTCCCGCTCTGTCTAGCTGAATCCCCCGGTTATTTCAGCCTGGTCTGGCTTCATGGCGGGCCCCGGTGGCCCTTGCCCATTCTTACGAAGACCTCCCCACAGTGACTTCGTAAGATATCCAGCTGCCTGCGGCAAACCCCGCCGCCGTGCCTGCGCAACAGCGTAGCTCAAGCAGTGGCCTAGCGTCCTGGCTTGCCTATAGCCCTACCAAACAATGTTCTAAGAACCTTTGGCGGTTTCCACGAAATGTTCTTATAACATTTCTGGCGGAGTCTGTAAGAACGTTTGTTTTGTCATCAGAACATTTCTTGGTTCCAAGAACATTTCGTGGTAGTTCCTTGGGAATGCCGGGACGGTCGGTCCCTGCTCAAGTGAAGGAGGCGGAGTGTAGGAACGCCACAGTTCCGACGGGTCGTGATCCCGACCTCGTCTTCGTCCGCGCGACAGGGAGGAGGAGGAGGAGGAGGAGGAGGAGGAGGAGGAGGAGGAGGGGGAGGAGGAGGAGCAAAAGGAGGAGGTGGAGGAGAAGGAGGAGCAGGAGGAGGAGCAGGAGCAGGAGGATGAAGAGGAGAGGAGGAGAGGGAGAAAACGAGGATGAGGAGAAGAAGGCTTCTTGGGGGCCTCCTGGGGGCCTCCTGGGAGCTTCCTGGAGGCTTCTTCGGGGCCTCTGGGGGGGCTCATGGGGGCCTCCCGGGGGCCCCCTGTGCCGCCATAGGGGGTGCTTGGCACGCCGGACGCCCAGGGAGGCTCCGTGCCGCCTTGGGGGGCCTCTCGTGGCCGTGCTGGTGCCATCTCGGAGCGGTGCGCGACCGTCTGGGGGCTCTCTTGGGAGCCTATTGTTATGTCGGGCGTGTCCCCCTACAGGGGGATCTTCGACGAAAAATTAACGATGCCCAAGAAATACCCCAAAAAGGTCCAGCAATACCCCAAACATAGTCCCCAGACTACTTTTGCTTACTTTTTGACTATTCTGGGGCATTGCTTACTTCTCGTCGAAAATCCCCCTGTAGGGGGACATGCCCGACTGAAACCTACGGGGCGATGTTTGGAGCCTTTTGGGCCGACCCGTGTCCCTGGGGGGTCTCCTGGGCTGTCTTCGAGCTGTAACTATTTTGGAGGCCTCTTGGAGGCTGCTTGGGCCGTCCGGGGACGTCAGCCACCCGAACAGGCGATAACTTAGTTATCGCCTGTTCGCCCCCTTACTTCCTTCCCCCTCAAGTCTCGCGCGCGGGTGCAGGCGGGGGGCTTCAATTAATTCCCCCGCCGAACACAGCAATCGAGGATGTATCGCCCATTCATGACTTTAAAAAACATCATTGCCGGGACCCTGCGCCCGACCCCCACTTTCACCCTCCAAATCTAGTCGACTGTCTGAGCGTTTGGCACATGCATGATGAGCACCCACAGCGAAGTGTCCGGCTAGTCTAGGTAGACTTCAGGCCGAAGGACGAAACGAAATGAAACAGGCGAGAACCTCAAAATTTTCCAAGAACCTATGGGGAAATGATGTTGGCCTAATCGGGCTCTCCGTCTGCCTTGGAAACCCTCCATGGAGGCCGTGAGGCTCCGAAGAAGGCCTCAAGGTAGATATAATGAGGCTCCCAAGACAGTCCAAGAGTTCGACTGGGTCACTGTGGCGAACGCGACGGGGGCACCCTGGATGAAAAACACTTAATTGGGGAAGTCTCCAAATTGTACCTGGTCGTTCCCAGGATCTCTGGAACATCTCCGTGATCGACATTCTCCAGGGGAATCTCGGGAAAACCTGCGGGTTCTTCAAATTTCTGCGGAAGTTTCCGGGAAATCTCCGGCGTGAAGAAAATCCTTGGAAATCATCGGCAAGTCTCCCGACGTGAAGAAATTCTCTTGTCCGGCCAGAGGATCTCCAGAACATCGGTCTGGCAAATCTGTGGAAGGAACATTTGCCGCAAATATTTCGTTGGAAATTCTTTAGGCGCGAAGATTTGTTGGAGATGCGCCATCATATTGTAAGGCGTGAAAATGTGATGGAGATTCGCCGGGGAATTTTTAAGGCGCGAAGATGTTTTTTTTGATTTTCGCCAGAAGTTTCTTACGGCGCAGAAACTTGTTGGAGATTAGTAGGGCTATTTTTGGGAGATTGGAGATCGGAGATTCGCGTCAATTCGCAGGAAGTTTGGTTTGGAGATTCCAGGGCCGTCGTGATTGTCATGTTCGACTCAGTGCGACCCAAGAGGTCTCTAAGCGGTATTCCAGAAGAGTCCGAGGAGACCAGAGCCATCGAGTTTCTATTTGAGGCTTTAAAGTATGAGGTTCTGGCATGTCTGGGTTTCCGACGGCGCAAAATAGCCCAAGAGGCCTCTCTGGGCCGTCTGGCTGCTCTCTTGGAGCGCTTCAAGGCCGTCTTGAGGCCCTCTTGGGTACTTCTTGTGCTGTCTTGGGGCTGTCTTGGGGACCTCCTGGAGGCCGTCTTGGGCCGTCTTGGGCGGTCGGAATCCCGAACAGGCGAGAACCGCAAAACAAATCTTCCAACAATGAACGGAAATCGATAATTTTCCTTCCTCGAACTCTCCTTAGAGCTCTCTTGGCCGTCTTTGGAGCCTCTGTGGCCGTCTTGAGCCCCCCTTAAGGGCCTCTTGGGCCATCGTGAAGTTGTCTTGAAAAGCTCTTGAGCTATATTGGGCCATCTTGAGCAGTTTTGGTGTAGTCATGATTGTCTTGGAAGCTGCCTGGGAGTCCGTCTTGGCCGTCTGGAGGCTGAAAATAGCGCTGATGAGCAATTTCAGGGGGGGCGATGTTTCAACCCCGCGCGCAAACTGGGGAGGGGTTCGACCTTCGAAAACACCAAAACAATACCAGGGACCGCAGGAGTAGTCTAACACGCCCACTCCGCGCAGGCACGGTGGCGGAGTTCTTTTGTTCCTCAGGTTTGGGAAACCAAAAGATGCCGATACCGCTACTCCAGAGACCTCTCCTGGGGTGTTTCCTGACCACGATTTTGAGGCAAATCCAGCGGTGGCGACGAGGGCTTCCCATGAGGCCGGAACAAGGGAGAATTGGCGACGGGTAGCGTTATGGGTACTCCGAGTTTCTTAATAACCGTCGGGGGAGCGTCACCCCCGCCGACAGCTCCACATCCACTCC